ACTTTGAATTTGCGGTTGAATTTGGTAAATGAAATATGATTACTGCCCAAAAGTACCTTGAAAACTCAAATCCTATCATTGTCTCATCTCTCTCTCTCTCTCTCTTTTCCCTCCAAGATTAAGGTGGTCTCATCACAAAAAGTGAGGACACTTTTCACAGGTTCAACCTTCCTCTAAATGGGATAGCCTGTACTGCAACCCTAGGTGCAAAAGAAATCCCGCTCTCTTTCACAGCACTACTACAGGAAATTTAGCAAAATTTACTATAAAGGAAAAGAAGAAAAAAATTCTTCTTTTAATAATAACTACTTCCACACCAAAGTTGGACAAATTAACTTGCTATTACACTCATAAAGAACAGTGTAACACAGGTATCTAAGACAAATTACCCCCAAAATTAATTAATTAATAAAGTAGTCTTTACTTCAAATAGTATATTATAATGCATAAAAATTCCAGAAGAGACTTCTCTCAATCATGATTTGTTTTTAATTTCTGTAATATATGGTAAACCAAAAAACCAAACCCATTGCTGTCAAGTCGATTCCGACTCACAGCAACCCTATAGGAGAGAAGAACCGCCCCACAGTTTCCAAAGAGCGCCTGGTGGATTTGAACTGCCGACCTTTTGGTTAGCAGCTATAGCACTTAACCACTACGCCACCAGGGTTTCTGTAATACATGGTAGAAAGAAGTAATTCTTTGCATGTAACAATAAAGAATGCAGAAGCAGTAAAGAAAATGTCAAGCACAGTTTTCTACCTACTTGCACCAAGAATGAGCAAGCCAGTTGAGACCTTCTAGTTGGTAATCTCGGAGCTCCAGATTCTCCCCTCCTAAATAGGTCGGCTGTTTCTTTAAAGCCACAAATCGTGGCCTCTGCTTCAGGGCCTGAAAAACAAAAATTAACATGTAGCCAAGTCTGAACACACTTTTCTTTCTCTCCTATACTAAAATGGTAGCCCACAAATTATGTGCTCTGCACCAAAGAATAAAAATTGAAATTTCACATCTGAATCACCAACCGCTCCACACCACCACCGTTTTCATCATAGTCTGTATTCCCAAAGCCAGATTTAGTCCTCAAAGTATTTTTTAGTTAATCTGTTCCTTTCCTGAAATAAGTTTGCAAACATCATCCACAAGCATTTATTTTTACTACATCTCTACTGTACAACAGTGAACCCAAAAACCAAACTCAGTAGCGTCAAGTTGTTTCCAACTCCTAGCAACTCTGTAAGACAGACTGGAACTGCTGCATAGGGTTTCCAAGAAGCGGCTGGTGGATTTGAACTGCCGACCTTCTAGTTAGCAGACAAACGCTTAACCACTGCACCACCAGGGCTCAGCAGGGCAGTGAGCCCTGGGCAGGATTATCTTTGTTCTTATTCTAAACAGTATAAAACAGTGCCACTGGGCAAGTCTGTCACATGCTGAACGGGAC